CCCAGAGCAAGTGGGCGCTCTGAAAAATGCTCCAGAGCAAGTGGGCGCTCTCATCAGTGCCCCAGGGCGCGCGGACGCTCTGAAAAGTGATCCAGAGCACGCGGGCGCTCTGGAGCCCGAGCGCCTGAACTCTCTGCGCAGGCCCCAGCGATGCCCCTGAGCCCGAGGACCTGGACGCCCCGCGCAGGCCCCAGCGATGCCTCTGAGCCCGAGGACCTGGACGCCCCGCGCATGCCCCAGCGATGCCTCTGAGCCCGAGCGCCTGGACGCTCTGAGCAGGCCCCAGAGATGCCTCTGAGCCCGAGCGCCTGGACGCTCTGGCGCTCTGAGCCCAGCAGACTAAGACAGGGCTTGCTAGCAGGGGCCAAGCGGCCTCAACAAGGGCCCCGTGCTCGCGCGGGAATAAGGCGACAGCGTACGTAGGAAGGCTCAGGGCGACGCGCTGCCCATTTTAGGGGTCACCCACGGGAAGCGAGCCCAGTGGCCTCCGCAAGGGCCCAGCGCTCCAGGGAACTAGGCCATTGGCACCGCTGGTCTCTTGGACCACGTTGGCCCCTGAAGCCCCACGGTGTTCTGCAAGGGGCTAAGTGCGCCAGCTCCAGTTGCCCCCCTGCTGCTCCTCGTCTTGGAAGATCGAGGTTCAACGTTCCGAATAAATGCTGCTATTTCGAAGACCGTTTCTTCCAGCGTCAGCCACAGTGCCAGCGCAGCAACGCAGGTATCCTGCTCGGGCAGCAGCCTCAGCCACCGTGCCAGCGCAGCAGCTTGAGCCACCGTGACAGCGCATCACCGCCACCTTTGTGCCTGCTACCACCACACTTACCGCTGCAGCCCCGCTACCTCCACAATTCCGACTGACCCCCCGCTACTACCGCAAATCCCATTGTAGCCCAGCTACCACCACAGTTCCCACCGTTGCCTGGCGACCACCACAGTTGCCACCGCAGCTTCCCAACACCATGCAGTTCCCATTGTAGCCCCCGCTACCACCACATCTCCCACTATAGCTTTCCACTGCCATGCAGCTCCAGTCTTGGACGGGATCATGGTTTACCCCCATGTCCTGCGCGACTAGCCTTCGCCCGTCAGAAAAAAGGCAGAGCAAGCAATGACATAACTGACCGACAGAGCTTAGAGAGCAGGTCAAAACTCGAATCCGCCCACCAGCACGCAACATGCCATAGCGCACCAGGTCGCCGCATCGCCAACTCGTGCGCAGTGCTTCTTCGTGCGCGATGGACAACTTTACAACCAACATGCCTCAAAGAGCCCAAAGCCACCCTTGCGCTTGCCCACGGAGATTTCAGGGAAAGGCACGCGTGCATTCACTATGTGTTTTTACTTGCCTGGTTGTAAAGTGGCCTTCCTGGTTGTAAAGTGCCCTTCTCGGATTTTGTAAGCTGGTTGTAAAGTGACCCATCTGGTTGTAAAGTGCGCTTCTGGTTGTAAAGTGACCCACGCGCGTCCGACCCCCCCCCCACCTCCTCCCCTTTCGCCACGCCGCCCCCTGACGCCGGAACCCGGCCCCCGCCACCCCTACCCCTAGTCCTCACCCGAACCCAAGCCCCGAATCCGAACCCTAACCACTAACCCCGGCCCCAAAGGGAGTCACGAGGGGCCCCCTGCCCCTTACCACTAACCCCAGCCCCCTATTCACTACCCCCTACTCACTACTCGCTATTCGCTACTCACGACTCACTACTCACTATCCACTACTCACTACCCACCACCCACTAGTCGCTACTCGCTACTCACTACTCACTACTCCATCCTCCCTACTCACTACTCACTCCGCACTACCCACTACTCAATACCCACTACTCACTAAGCACTACTCACTACTCTTTATTCACTACTCAATAATCACTACTCATTACCCACTACCCACTATCCACTACTCACTACTAACTACTCATTGCCCACAAATCACTACTCACTACCCACTACTCGCTACTCGCTACTCACTACACAATACTCCCAACACAATACTCGCTACTCCCTCAGTACTCGGTACTCGCCACTCGCTACTCCCATACTCGCTACTCAATACTCACTACTTACTCCCCGCTACTCACTTTTCACTACTCACTACTTACTACTTCCTACTCACTAGTCACTACATAGTCTCTAGTCTCTAGTCACAACTCACTAGTCACTATTCACTAGTCACTACCCACTACCCACTACTCACCACCCACTACTCACCAATCGCTACTCACTACCCACTATTCGCTACCCACTTCTTACTACTCACTGCTCCCTACTCCCTACTCCCTACTCAGCACTCACTACTCACTACCCACTACTCGCTACTCCCTATTCGTTACTCACTAATCACTACCCACTACTCACCACTGACTACACTCTACTCACTGCTCACCACTCACTACTCGCTACTCACTACTCACTACCCACTGCAACTACCCATTACTTCCTATTCACTATTCATGACGACTCACTACTCACTACTCACTACGCACTACGTACTACTCAGTACTCACTACTCACTACTCACCATTCCCTACTCACTACTCACTATTCGCTACTCACTACTCACTACCGACAACTCACTACTCACTAATCACTACTCGCCACCCATTACTCACTACCCACTACTCACTACCCAGTACTCATTGCTCCCTACTCCCTAGTCAGTACTCACTACTCGCTACTCGCTACTCACTACTCACAACGCACTACTCGCCACTCACTACTCACTTATCTGTACACACTAATTACTCACTATATTCACTACTCACGACTACCTGGGAGGGCAGCCTGTGCGCAACCCGACATGTTACCAGGAGGGTGATCTGCTCCTTTGGGGCTCCGAGGGCCCTCGCCGAGCCAAGGACCCAACAAGAACGGCGGGGGCGGGTAGTAACGGGGGTGACCTAATTGGGCGCTGAAGAAAAGGGCCTGAATGCCGCTTTAGAGCTCCTTTCGGAGCGAGCAGATGCCCCAAGGGGCCCCTTAAGGGCCCTATTCCTCACCCCCCTCATTTAACTTACCCCCCATTACCACACGCCCGAACGACTTGGGATGAAAACCGGTCCCCGGGAAAAGAGGCCTCCTAGATGGGGTCGGAGTCGGTAGGGTCGGAGGATCGCGCCGCATCGCCGATGCATCGATGATACATCGCCGATTCATCGGCGATGATTCGGCGATGCAACGGCGACGCCATCGTGGAGAAACTCGGGCTCGACATCGAGCCGCATCGCCGATGCATCGACGACACGGCGCGAGCCTCCGTCCCCATCTACTCGGACCCCATCCAGGAGGCCGAGAGGCAAGAGGTCCAGGCCTCTGACGTCGGGTGTCCGGTGAGGTGCTCGGCCGACCAAGGCCGCGCCCACCACCGCCTGTAGAGGCTGGCGGGTCTGACCAGGTGCGCGAGGTCGGGCGCGCGCTGAAGCGGACCAGGGATGTATCGAACCAAACCGCCCAAACTTATTACCCCTCATGCAAAGATGGGGACCTCAGTGAGGCCACATCCTCACTGTGCCGTTCGGGTTAGGGGTTCTTTTATTCTGGATGACGCCAGCTCCACCGATTGGAGGAGGCTCCCGCCGGAATCGCGAGACCAGCGCCGCCTGACCTCGCGACGGAGCGCGCCGACTCCGCATGGAAACGGTGCCCGCCGCCAGTCCTCGCGCCTCAATATCCGTGTTTGCGCTTCCTTGAGAAGAGGGCGCTCGGCATCCGAGCGCTCTCAGGCGTCGTGCGCATCCCTCTCGGGCCCCCCTTGAAGGTGGACTCGGCGATACATCGCCGATAGATTCGCGGTAGGACCCCGGTACCGAATCCCCACGATCTGGGCGCGGTGGGCCACGAGGCCCCAATCAGAGGTACATGGGCGATTGGGGGTCGATGCGTTCCTGCCGGACCCCCTGCGCATAGACAGCCTGATGGGGGAGGACACGCGAGAGGACACAAGACCCTTCCGCGGGGCCATATTGCCATGTGAGTGTAGAAGGGATGGGCCGCGAACCACAGGACAGAAAGGTACCCTTGATTTGGCAGGGTCGACCTACTAATCAAGCTCGACTGTACCCGTTTCGGGTGGTCTTCGGGCCACTAATCTCGGGGGCGCGCAAACATGGATTAGAGATCCATGGATTTGGCGCGCTGTTGCCAAATCCATAGGTCGGGGGAAGTACCCTCCCCAAAATGCGGCCGGTGCCGCCTCGCTCGGCGGCGGCAATCCGCGATTTCCCATGGAAACGGGACCTGCCGCTAATCCACGCCACATTGATCCGTGTTTACGATCGCCTGATGACCGGTTCTCTGGCGGCCGCTTGGGACGATCTCTGGGCACCCACGGAGAACGCTCTCTGCGTGGCGCAGCAGCCGGGAAAAGCATCCCGCGGCTGGAGAGGCGCCGACAAAGACGCCAAAAAGCTCGAACCTCGAAATCTCGCCCCCCTCGAACCTCAAAACCTCAAACATTTCGCCCCCCTGGAGCCTCAAAACCTCGAAATGTCGTCCCACTCGAACCTCAAAACCTCGAAATGACGTCCCCACGGAGCCATATCCTAATCCCTGCTTCCTCTGGGAGAAAAAACTAATGTACCGGTACCGCTACTCACGAACGTATTTCTGTATTCGCGGCGATAATGGGCGTCTCTGGGGTGGGGGGGGGGCCGGGGGGGATACCGTAACGTCCGCCCCCTCCCCCTGCCGTGCGCGCGGCGGCAGTGCCGGGGGCGCACTGGGGGCCGGAGTTTTACGTTATGGGGCCCGGGTGGGGCGGGGGGGGCCATAACGCGCTTTATGGCCCAAGCAAGAATGAAACAGGCTCCCCCAGATCTCTGCGAGAATGCGTTCTGACCAGAGCTTAGGGGTGACGAGGACTCTCCGAGACGAGCAGAGGTGCCAGTATCTCTTCCTCCTCTTATCCCTCCTGCTCCCATCCCGTCGATCCTCGATGCCCTTGCTCGACCCAAGCATCCCCCTCTAATGTTGCCCCTCCCCTGATCCCCTCTCCCCCCCAGGCTCGCCTCCAGAGCGGCACCGGCGACAAGTACGGCGAGCCGCCAGCGTCTACGGGCACCGGCTGGTGCCTCGCGCACATCGTCGTCGTCGTCGCCGCCGCCGCCGCCGCAGCCGCCGCCGCCGTCGTCGGCGCCGTCGTCGTCGCCGTAGTCGCCGTCATCATCGTTGTCGGTCGGGCGAAGAGGAGGAGGGGAGGAGGAGGAGGAGGAGGAGGAGGAGGAGGAGGAGGAGGAGAAGGAGGAGGAAGAGGAGGAGGAGGAGGAGGAGGAGGATGGGGGGCAAGGAGGAGGAGGAAGGGGAGGAGGAGGAGGAGGAGGAGGAGGAGGAGGAGGAGGAGGGGGTGCGAGGAGGAGGAGGAGGAGGAGGAGGACCAGTGTAAGACCAAGTGACATCAACGATGTCGAATAAACCCTCCCTCCAAGCTCCCTCTTCATAGGCCCATACAAAGGTTCATTTCCATTGAGGGAACTGCCTCGTTGAACGACAACCGTCCGAAGACCCTGAAGCATGCTAAAACATTTTTCTCGGAATTCCAACGCACAGGATCAACCGGACTGTTGCGTTTTGACGATCCTGAGTCGTGCCATAACGACATTCCTAGGACTTCGACACCGCAAATGAACGTAACTGTTGCACCCTTATAACCATGAATCCTTCGAGAACACTATTTCTGGGATTTTGGCAATGGTAATCCGTGAAAATATGGCAAAACTTATTAATTAAGGGCGAGAACTACATTTTGAAAACGGGTTCCCCTCAACCCATGAAACTCTTACAAATGTTTAAAACGAATGTGCGCGGCGCGAAGGCGAGAACCACATCTTGAAAACGACCCGCCTTCCATATGTAAATATGTTGCCAATGTTGAAGCTTCAAGGTCATACATGATGAAGAAGTCTCAGGCGAAAGGCCCGGCCCGCCCTACAAACTGGCCCCGGGGTGCGACATGGATAAGTTATTGATCAGGGCAAGAAATGGAGGAGGAGAAGGAGGAGGAGGGTCAGGAGGAGGGTCAGGAGGAGGAAAAGGAGGAGGAGGAGGAGGAGGAGAAGGAGGAAGAGGAGGAGGCGGAGGGGGAGGAGGGGGAGGCGGAGGAGGAGGAGGAAGAAGAGGAGAGGGAGGAGACGGATGAGGAGGATGAGGAGGAGGATGAGGAGGAGGGGGAGGAGGAGGAGGAGGAGGAGGAGGAGGAGGAGGAGGAGGAATATGACGACGAAGACGAGGAGGGGCAGGGGGGAGAGCGGAGGGTATAGGAGGGAGGGGGGAGGCGAGGAGGGAGACGATGGGGGGGCATAGAGGTGAGGGAGGGAGGGAGGGAGAAGGCGGAGGGGAGCGAGAGGAGGAAGAGGAAGGAGGGGGGAGGAGGGAAGGGAGGGGAAAGAGAAAGGGCGAGGCGGTTGCTGGAGTGGGGCCACGGAGTTGTTTACCTCTGTGCGACATCAAGCTGACCTCTGACCGCAGGCAGGTCAGAAACTGAATGAACAGAACAGTTCAGAAGGACCAGGGCGTCATACTCTTCGCCCCATCGAGAATCAGCTCGCCGGGGAGGCTTGCCATTTCGAACACGTCGAGTTGCCTGCAGCTGCCTTGGGGGAAATTCTGCGGGGGCCCGCAAGGACCGCAGAGCAACCAACCAACCCGTTGCAAGACGCGAGATAAAACATGTGTTCCGTTTTCTTATTGTGCCGTGTTCCATCGTTCTGTCTTCGCTTCGCCTTTGCTGCACGAGAACCGATCTCGATCATGATGGAGGGGGGCAGGCTCCCCGCGGCGCGGCAGTGCCGCGGTGTTGGGCCTCTCTTGGAGCCGTCTTGGAGGCGGCGCGCCCGACGCGCAGGCGCACCAGCGCAGCGGTCGCGGTCCTCGTCCTCGTCCTCCTCCTCTTCCTCCTCGTCCTCCTCCTCCTCCTCCTCCTCCTCCTCCTCCTAATCCTCCGCCCCGTCCTCCTCCTCCTCCACCTCCTCCTCCTCCTCCGCCTCTACGCCTCCTCGTCCTTTTTGACGTTGATCGGTCTTCAAGCTCGGGGCTCGCAGCATTCGTCTTCCTCCTCCTCCTCCTCCTCCTCCTCCCAGGTCCTGTCCTCCTCCAGCTCCTGTCCTCCTCCTCCTCCTCCGCCTCCTCCTCCTCCTCCTCCTCCTCCTCCTCCTCCTCCTCCTCCTCCTAGGCTGCATCCCTCCTTAATTCCATGTGTTTCGCTTCGCGAACTGCCCATTCCCATATCCATTCCCCTTCCCCATCCACGGGCCGCGCTCGGCAGGCGCGCGCGGGCGCCGCGAGTCTGGGCGCCCGCGCCGCGCCCATGTTGCTTGCGACGAGGCGAGGACAGGGACAACGTCGAACGGGGATATAGTAGGAGCTCGACCACAAGAAACCTTCCACAAGAAACCCAAGCCTGAGACCCCAGGGCGTCCATTGATTTTTTGTGTGGGAACGTCACGTTTTCCATCGCAGGACAATCGAATCCCAAGAAGCCCCGGGGCACCCTGGAGGCAAGCAGGGTGTTTCTTGGCATGGAATTTCCACTGTGCATGGGGAACCTCAGAGACCTGGACAGCTTCATGACGGCCCAGGAAGTTTTGAAGACGCACTGAGAGATTTCTCAAAGTACGAGGAAGCCTGGACAGGGACAAGATCGAACGGGGACACATGGGGAATTTCGGAGATCTGGGCAGCTTCAAGACGACGCAAGAAGCCTCCAAGGCGCACCCAAAGACCCCCCCAATGTACAACGAGGCCAGGACTGGGACAACGTCGGACGGGGATGCATCGGGAATTTATAAGATCTGGACATCGGCGGCGAGCGGGGGGGGAGGGAATGAGAAGGAGAAGGTCTTCTCAGAAGGCGGCGGGAAATTTCAGGAACCATCGCGCATTCTTAGAATTGTTGTCTGCGTCTTCGGGGAATGCATAGAGCACTTCTCAGAAAACCCGGAGATTTCCGAGCCTTCTGACAAGGGCTTCTCCTTCTCACTTCCCCCCCTCGCTCGCCGCCGAGGACAGTTTTTAGACAGCCGAAGAAGCCTCCAAGACGCACCAAATCCCGAGGGAACACCTGTAATGTAACAGATGCACCTTTTCCCTTCAGCAGCGTCCACAACAGGCCAGGTGGTCCCCAAGAATCGGGCATCTCTGAGATCTGGCGATTATGGGTGACATGTCGGGCGCTTTGGCTTTCTCAAGGCGCTCCAGAACACTCTGAGAACGTCCATGGACGCTCTGGAAAGGATTTGTCCTTTTGAGCAGGGACCCGCCGTCCCGGCATTTCTATAATCCTACCACGAAATGCTATTAGAGCTCAAAAACGTTCGAATAACAAAAATATTTTTCTTAGAACATAAGCCCGATGTGTTAAAACAAGATAGTCCCAACCAGAAGTGTCCTAAGAACATTTCGTGGAAACCACCAAAGGTTCTTAGAACGGGCGTCGTTCGTCGAGCTTGCGGGAGCGTCGGGCGGTGACGAGGGAGGGGAGGAGCAGGATGGAGGAAGGATTGGAAGTGGTGAGGCAAGAGTGAGGGAGGGAGGCAGGAGGGAGGAAAGATGGCAGGAGGAAGGCAGGAGGGAGGAAGGATTGAAAGTGGGGAGGAGCAGGAGGGAGGAACGAGGGAGGGAGGCAGCGAGGGAGGACGGCATGAACCACCACGACGACAGCGACGGCAGAACGACGGCGGCGGCGGCGACAACGGCCGCCGACGACCTGCGCGCTGCTGCCCCAGCCAACCATGGGCCCGAGGGGGGTGGGGGGGGGGGGGGCGACAGGGAGGGGCACCGGCTCAGGGGAAAACGTAAGTAAAAGGGGCCCTGGGGCACACAACTGAATAGACACAGATCTGGAGATTTCCCACAGGTTCCATTATTTCCTGGGTTTTCGTGTTCCCCCACTTCCCAGATGTTCCTATACTTTCCTGGGAGTCGACGATTCATTTTGTGTACACTCCTGAAGAGAGTAGAATGAACGGAGCGGTGGTTAGTGCGATGATGGTTGCTGCTGTCTGCATGAGCAGTGAGAACCAGGCCGAACCACAATTTCGTAATCGACATGGTGATTGGCCGGCTATGCAGGCGGTCCACACAGGACCCCGCGCCGCGAATCACCATGTGGGGAGACGAAGTGGCGGTAGGAACTTCAAGTTCAGACTTTGATATTATACTGACTGTCTTTGCGCAAGACCTTAGCAACTAACGCCTCAGCCACCTTGCCGGAACTGAGTTGGAATCGATGATGCATCACCGATAAACCAGCGACGGGCCCCCGACAGTGAGGCCGCAAGCTCCCGGGCGGGGCGGGGGCCCAGGGCTCGGACTGGCGATGCGTGGACGATTGGGGGTCCGTTCTTCCCCCCCCAGAGCGTATCACCCCTACGATAGGGGCCCGACCACAAGAAACCTCTCACAAGAAACCCGACCCTGCGACCCCAGGACGTCTATTGTCTTTTGGTGTGGGAACGTCACGCTCTCCACATCAGGACAATCGAAACAGGGTGTCTCTTGGCATGGGCTTCCACTGTAGCGTTGCGTCCTGGGCTTTCGCGCCACAACTCGGCGCCCTGGCGACCGCTCGGGACGATCTGGGCGCCCACGGACGCCCCTCGGCGAGGCGCTGCTGCTGGAAGGCATCCCGAGGCTGGAAAGCTGCCGAGGGCTGACAGAAACGCCCAAAAACATCGAGCCTTGAAACTGATACTTCGCTCCCCCTGGGCCAGTCCCCCCCCCCCCGCCGTCGTTGCCTCTGAATCGGGGGTTGCTAAAGGCGCCCCTCGCTCCAGGCACCCCCAGCTTCCCGCTCCAGTCTGGAGCCCCTGGAGCCCTCCTGGGCCCCGTGAGGGGTGCTCTGGAGGCCCTGGGGGGCCTCCGCGGAAATCCTGGGGGCAACTTGGGCCAAGGGTACTTCTAGCAACACCCGATTGAAGGAGAAGAGCTGACCGAAACGCCCACAAGCATCGAACCTCGAACCCTGGGCCAGTCCCCTCCCCTCGGCGGCCGTTGCCCCTGAATGAGGAGAGCAACAACGGCACAAACAGAATCTCTCGGATGTCCGCGCGGTTTTCCTGGATCAGGACAAGCGCGCTCCACTACTCGCAAGATAACTCCTCGCAAATGGCCTGGATCCGCCGCGGGAGATTTACGAGACATTACATACGAGGAATTCATATTTGTTTTCGGACGACTGTGAGTGGGCACTTTGCGAGTAGTGGAACGCGCCTGGTGGGGATCGGCGCCGGGCCCCCTCCATGGCGCGCAGAGCGCGCCAGGGGCAGCGCCGAAGGGCCACAAGGGGAGCCCGACGCCGTCCCGAGAGTTCCGCTCGAACCTCTGAGAAGGAACTCTCCTGCAGCCTCTGATCTTCGATACTTCGAACCGTCCAAAAGAAACCTTTCACGAGAAAGCCAACCCCGATACCCAGGACGACCATTGATTTAGGGTGCGGGAGAGTGACGCTTTGCATAGCAGAACCATTGAACCCCAAGAAACCCAAGGCACCCTGGAGGCAAGCAGGGTGATTCTTCGAGCAGGCAGCCTGGAGGCAAGCGGGGTGCAACCCAAGGCGCTGGCCCCCAACGCCGACCGACCCACCCGTCAGGATCCGCCCGCCTGGCCCGCAAGGCAGGGCCCGCCCGCCCATTGGGGCCGTCGTCGCCCTCATCGCTGTCGATTCGTCCTCGTTGTCCTGTGAATCCTCCTCGTCGTCGTTCCGTCCTGAGTAGTCGACAACGCCTCGTCCTCCTCGTCCTTCTAATCCTCGTCGTCGTCGTCGCCGCCGCCGCCGCCGCCGGCGTCGGCGTCGCCGAGGGACGCCCGACATCGCAATGTTTCCTCAACTTCGACCCCCAGAAGTCTCGACCCGTCCCTCGGGACCAGTTTTCATCTGGGGCCGTTGCTTGACGGTCCCGAGGCCCAGTGAGGGTCCCCAGAGGCCGAAAATAGTGGAAAACCTCTCGTCGACATGTGTTCATGGTTCGAGGGGGCTCTGGGGTGGGAACCGTCGGCAAGGCGGCGCGCAGACGGCCGCAGCGCCATGTCCGAACGACCGACCTGCGATCCCCAGGGGCTCTGCGCGGGCGGGGACCCTGGCGCCCGCAGGCGCCCGTCTTGTTTCTGTGACTCGAAGGGGTCTCGACCCATATCCCCAGAGGTCTCGACCCGTCCCCGGGGATCGGCTTTTTCAACCTCGTCGTGGCCGCCGTCGCAGCCGTCGCCTGGGCCAGTCGATAGTCCACGCCGAAAAAGATGCTGAGGGGCAACGATAGGGGGGGGATAGGCATTAGGGGGGGAAACACCGACCTGGAATCGGCGATGCATCGCCGATGGATCGTGGATAGGCCCCCGATGGAAGATCCGCACGTTCCTGGGTGGGGTGGGGCTACCGGGCCCCTATCGGCGATCGACAGGCGAGTGGGGGTCCATGCATCCCCCCCGATGCCAATCCCCCCCCCCTATCGCTGCCCCCGAGATGCACACGCCCGATCGATGCCAGGCGACCCCCCCCCCCCCACGGGCGGCCTGGGCCGCGCCTCCCTCGCGGACCGCGGCGCCGCAGCCCAAGCGGGCGGCGGCGGCTCCTCCCCCGGGGCGGCGCCGGGGCCCCGCGGCGTGCCCTCGAGGGACACCGCGGGGGCCCGTCGAGGCCCCGTCCCCATCGCTGCATCATCATCGAGATCCTGCTCCTCCTCCTCCTCCTCCTCATCTTCCTCATCTTCCTCATCTCCATCCTCCTCATCCAGATCCTGATCCTCCTCCTCCTCCTCCTCCTAATCATCATCATCCTCCTCATCATTATCATCATCATCATCATCATCATCATCATCATCATCATCATCATCATCATCATCATCATCATCATCATCATCATCATCATCATCATCATCATCATCATCATCATCATCATCATCATCATCATCATCATCATCATCATCATCATCATCATCATCATCAGCATCAGCATCAGCATCAGCATCAGCATCAGCTCCAGCATCATCGTCCTCACCAGCATCGTCCTCATCATCATCATCATCATCATCATCATCCTCATCCTCATCAGCATCATCCTCATCAGCATCATCATCATCATCAGCAGCATCAGCAGCATCATCATCACCATCATCAGATTGACATCCTCGTCGCCATCGCTACTACCATCACCGCAACCAGCATCACCATCCTTATCAGCATCGACATCATCAGCATCGACATCGGCATCAGCATCAACATCAGCATCAGCATCATCATCACCCCTATCATCATCATCAGCATCGTCATCATCATCGTCATCGTCATCGCCATCATCATTATCGTCATCATAAGCATGCGTCTCATCATAAGCAACATGATCATCATCAGCATACGATTCCTCATCCACATCATCATCACCATCACCATCACCATCATCATCATCATCATCATCATCATCATCATCATCGTCATCATAATCAGCATCATCATCACCAGCATCATCATCATAATCATAAGCATCATCATCGACATCATCAGCATGATCATCATCATCATCATTATCGTCTTCTTCAACATCAATATGGACATCGTCATTGTCGTCGTCACCATCCTCCTTATCCTCGTCATCACGGGCATATCCTCAGCCTCACCTTCCTCATTATCATCATCATTGTCATCGTCGTCGGCATCGTCATCATCATCACCATCCTCCTCAATATCATCGTCATTACCATCGTCATCATCATCATCATCATCATCATCATCATCATCATCATCATCATCATCATCATCTTCATGGCGGTCGTGCTCGTCATCATCATCATCATCTGCATCTGCATCATCATCAGCATCATCGCTATCCTCCTCCTCATCCTCAACCTGATCATCTTCGTCATCATCATCATTACCGTCGTCGCCATCGCTATCGTCATGGTCACCATCCTCTTCCTCACCCTTCTCCTCCTCCTCCTCCTCCTCCTCGTCATCATCATCCTGCTCATCATCCTCATCCTCATCCCCCTCCTCGACTTCGTCCTTATCGTCATCCAAATCACCATCATCCTCGTCATCACCATCCTCATCAACCGCATCGTCACCATCATCAGCTTCATCATTCTCATCCTCATCCTCGTCCTCGCCATCGCCATCATCATGTTCCTCCGTCTCCTCCTCATCCTCATCATGATAATCGTCGACATCGTCATCGTCGTCGTCATCATCATCACCAACATCATCATTCACAACAACATCATATTTACCATCCGCTCATTCCTCCTCCTCTCAATCGTAATCGCAATCGCCCACATCATCATCGTCATCATCATCATCATAATCATCATCATCATCATCATCATCATCATCATCATCATCAACCGAAACATGATGTCGTCGGCACGACCACCACCACCAGCACCAACATCGGCATCATCATTACCATCATTACCATCATTATCAGCATCATCATCATCATCATCATCATCATCATCATCATCATCATCATAATCAAAATCATTTCCTTTTTTTCATACGCGTCACCCAAAGAGTCTGCTCGTGAGGATCGACGTCCAAGTTTCCCTGCCTTTTGGTTGCCCGCGCGGGCAGAATTCGTCACCTCACTCCCGCAGGCGATCCTTCCGCGCTGCTTCCGGCGAACCGATGCCGGAGGGCGGGAAGTCGTCGAGCAGCGGCTCGCCCTCTGAAGAGGAACTCTGGCATGCCAGAAGCCTGCACGACGGGAGGCCTTCGGCCGCTCGGGGCCTCCTGGGGCCCTCGCCGGGCCCAGGGACCACCAAAAACAGCTCAGAGCGAAGAGCCAGCCCTGGGGAAGGGGTCGGGAATTCAGCGGACAGTACATGGGCAACACAATCGAACCCTCACACACTTGCCGGGGATGTGCATCACACCCCCGCCCCCGCAATCAACGTTGATTTTATTTTGGCATGGGTGATGGTTTGGGAGTTCGATCGCGCTTGCTCACCCAAACCCCTCACTTGCCGCACCCTCGATTTGAATTTTGGGCGCCCGGGGGGGCAGGGGCCCGGGGGGGCACATTGCGGCGCGCGCTTCGAACTTGTCCATGTACGAGACCATCGAACGTCAAGGGCTGGTCTCTTTGGCTCGTCGAGCAGCGACGGCCCGTCCACGACTGGTCTTTTTTCGAGGGCGCTACTCGAAAAAAAAAAGTATCAATCCCGCGACCCGCCCCCTGATATCCGACGTTGCGACAACAATTGCCACATCGTAGAAAGACTCGACCAGATCCCCCCCTCTTCGTTCTCCTCCCCTTCCTCCTCTTCCTCCTCCTCCTCCTCCTCTTCTTCCTGTTCTTCGTCATTATCCCCCAACCTCCCCCGACTCCTCCTCCCCTTCAACCTTCTTCTCCTGGTTCCCCGGATTCCACTTTTGTTGCAAATGAGAACAGATATGGCACCGCATCACTGCCATGCCGAGGCCGCTCAATGACCACGAACAGGGAAGACAATGCACATGCCAGTCAAGACGACAACGATGAGGAGGTAGGAAATTATAACGAACCGATGCGTTAAGGGAACGGCGGGCGAGCCGAACGATGACGGTGACGAGGAGGACCAAGCAGAAGGGACAGTCTCTCAATCATTGCTCTACTTCATCCCCGTCCGAATTCCCCCTCCTCCACGTGATCCTCCTGGCGCTCCCTCCTATTCCAGCTCGCATTTCTTGCCTCCTCGCCGCGCGCCGTCATCCTCCTCCCCGTCCGCGCGTATCGTCCGAATCATCCCTCCCCATGCCTCCACATCATGACCCTTATGCACCCTCACCGAAATTACTATCCCCCCTCACGCCTCTGACTCGTCCTCAGATTTCTCCTACTCCCCCGTACTCCTCCTCATGTCGCCCTCAGGAGTCCCGCGTTTTACTCCCTATGTTCGTTAACCTCCTCGGCACTCCCCCGCGATGGTCACCCTCGTGCTCCTCCTCGTCATCCCCATTACCGCCTTCGCGATCGTCCTTCGAGCCCTCTGCGCACGCCCGCGATCCACCACTCTCGTTCTTAACTCCTCTTGGATCCTCCTCATCCACCCTCCTCGGTGCTCATCTTTTTTTCTCCTTGCCCGCCCCACCCCCTTCACCCCTTCCTTGTCCTCGTCCTCGTCCTCCGCCTCTTCCTCCTCCTCCTCCTCCTCCTCCTCTTTGCTCTCCCCCTCCTACGGAGCCCTGTTCCTGCCCAGCTCTCCCCATACATCTCGCTTCATCTTCGTTATCCATCCTACTCCTCGTCGTCTTTGTCTTCGTCGCTCGTCTCCTCACTCCTCATCGCTGCGGCTTCCCACTATCCCCATCGCATTGCTCATTGCTTCGGCCAGTATCATACATCCTGTTCGCTCCGAGAGCAGCCAACAATATCATTTCTGATAAGTTGGATACGAGAAGATACGGCGCGGAACTGCCATTCTTTGTCAAGTAGATACGGGTAGCTGTTTCTTGAACAAAAATGTGTACGGTCCCAAATTGCTAACGATGCTTGAAAATGCATGCGCTTAGATACAGCGGCGCTCCCGTGGAGGCCGGGGGCGCGCATGTAAAATGCATACGTATCTATGTTGTCGCCGACAGACAAAAAGATACGATGGGTTTCTCGCCTGCACCAGGGCGCGATCGAACGCATCTATTCGTTTTAGATGCGTCTTGCAGGGGTAAGGCCCAAACGCCTCCCGTCGCACTTCTGTTCCACGACGCGAGCGCGTCTGGATGTCGGAAGGGCAGGCGGGCCCAACACGCCCCCAAAGGCTCAGAGTCCGAGTCAAGACCGTGCACAGAGTTGCGGCCGTAGGGGCAACGGCGAGTGACCGTCGCGGCTGACGCCTCGAGCGGAAGGCTGGGATCCTCAAAACATTCGTGGTCAGGGCACGAGCTCCACCATATCTCCCGTGTTCTTTATGCCTTCGTTCTCCCTCGTGCTGACTCCGTTCCGCCTTTGCTGCAAAACGAGATCAAAACGGGAACGGTCCACGAAATCGCTCAAACACTGTTTTGCTCGCGCCCTACGTCAAAGCATGAGAGGTTTCTCACAGACTTGGCCTAATCAATACCACAGAAAAGGAGGTCCTCCTTCATCTCTTCCCCATCCTCATGCTTTTCTGGCCCCCGTCCTCCAGTGCCCAGCGACAATGTGTGGCACAATCGGTCTATCGACCGCGGGAAGGACCCTCCACCTACCCCAGCTCTGTACATCATCAGTATGAACACTCATCTGTGAGCGCACCTATGCTTTGCAACAGAGGTAGTCCATTTCGGCCCACATACAGTTCCACCGACGGCTGCCTGCGGCGACCGTCGTCAAAGGCTCGCTGGTATTCTTACAAGTTGCGCAAGTGCGTTCCCAAACTCCAGATTCAAAGCTTCCAGCAGTGAAGTTCGTTGCCTCTGTGGGCAACCATGATTCTCTGCAGCCGAACTCGATCATTATACCGCATTGCATGGTATTTCAACCAGGTTGGGTCGTTGTTGCTGGTTCTCCGCAAATTCCCCGCCCACTTGAACACTGCGTGGACGTATTTCGCATCCCACTTCTCGATCCTCGGCCATAGCAATCCGCACAGGGACCCATCCCTCAGGGCCCAGCCTCGTGGCCTCCGACTCCCGAGCCCAACCACCGATTCTCGCTGCGCGCCAGCTTGGGCTCCTCCTCGGTGCCGCCGTCCAGGCTGGCACGGCGCCGCTTCGCCTCCCAGGGGAGCAAATAATTGACTACCTACCAGACCACCCCCAAACACCAGCATTTCGGATGGGGGGGACCAGTTCCACACGTGTTCTCTCCATGGACCCCCCACTTGGGAATGGAGGGCAGCTTGGAGCCTCCGGGTTGGGTTGGGGTGGTTTGGCGAGTAGTGGTGACTAGCTGCGTAAACAATCGCTTTCGGAGATCCGCGCGGATTTCGTGGCTCGGCGCCGGGCCCCCCGCCTGGCGCGGGGAGCGCGCTGGGGGCGCCACAGACAGGGGGGCAAAGCGCCATTCCAGGAAGTCCGCGCGGGCCTCCGAGCACGCGATCTACTGTTGAGGAGCAACGATGGGGGGGGGCTGGCATGTGGGGGGATGCACCGACCTGGAACCGGCGATACATCGCCGGTAAATCGGCGATAGGCCCCCGATAGTGAATCCGCACCTCGCTGTGCAGGCTGGGGCTATCGGGCCCCCATCGGCGATCAATGAGCGATTGGAGGTCGATGCATTCGTCCCTAAGCCCATTCCCCCTCTATCGTTGCCCCCCGAATCAATCTTCGAGCCTCCGACATCTGCGCCCGCCGGCGCACCAGCCACTTCTCGATGTGCCTTTCGCCGGATGCTCTGAACCTGAGCGACGGTAAGAGAAGGGCATCACGCACGATGACACGGTGGCGACCAAACGCCACTGCGCGGAGGAGAGGGCGCTCCTGCGCGACTTCACGCGGGAAGCTTACGCGCTAAATGCCCACTCAGTCGACCCCGCTTCTCGAGGGAACCGAAAGGTACCCATGCCGCTGCAAGGAGGCTGGAAAAAGTGGAAGTTGGGAATTCCGTCAGGGGGGAATTGGCCAGGTCGGAAAAGCCAGCAAGGGCTGCGACGAGCACGAAGACGCTGGGATGAGGTCGCCAGGGCTAGAACAAGTACAGGAAAACTGGCCAGGGGTCGAAAGATCGGCGGTGGACAAACCTCCCTTTAACCACCCTTTAGTGAAGACGGCCTAGGACCGATACCGACGGACCTGGACCCGCAAAAATGGCGGCCGCTACGTCCTCTCGCGAACCGAACACGGCCAATTCGCTAATCGACGTGTCAGGGTAGGAGGTTTATCAACCTCCGGAATCGATGGGACGCACAGAGACATGCCTTCCTTGGAGGCACGCGTCCGACCCAGCCATATAGTATATACCCATCTTGTAGCAGATCGTTTCCCGAGTGGCGCGGCCAGAAAGCGCCCGCCACCACGCATTTACTATAAGAGTTCTCGGTGCGCGCGTCGCCCCATAGCATCAGTACGTTGGGGTGACGCCGAATCGAGGGTCGGGGATCGGGGATCGAGCGCGGGCCGCCTCCACGCTCCCGCCGAGGCCTCCGGAGGCGGAGGCGACAGCGCCCGAGAGCCTCGCTCCTCGAGCGTCGATCCTCCAGCATCAATCCCCGATCCTCGGGACGACGACGACGACGACGACGACGACGACGGCGGCAAGCGGTGGCGGCGGCGGCCCGTCGGCGGCGGCGGCGACCACGACGGCCTCCTGAATCCCGAAATGAGCGGGACCGACCGACCGAAATGTTCTCACGACAAAAGAACATTCCCACAACAAGAACAGGTGGCCTCAAAACCCGGAACGAAAAACAGATGGAGTCAAGCACGACTGCCTCAGACAGACATGTTCTGAGAACATGTCGTGCAAACCACACAGGTTCTCGGAACATTGTTTGGTATGCCTGCCTAGAGGGAAATCAGGACACTTCGCTATTACTTACTCCAAATTAAATCATAACAGGGAGGAGGTCACAACCCTCCCAGACGAGCAACTTTAGAGCCCGCCGGCCCAGCCATAAAAGGGCGTCCTTTTGCCCAGACCCCACTGAACTCCTCCAAGACATCCCAAATCAGACCCCCTCCCAAATCAGACAATATCCTTTGTATTGCGAAAGCAAGAATAACCGAAAACTCCGCCGAAGGCCGCCGATTGATCAGCGACCGGCGCCCGCCGAGGTGGCGCCCTGGGCGCCGCGCGACTCCGCCTCGCGGCGCGCCTCCGCGGCGCGTGAGGCCTGCCCGCGCCAGGCCTCGAAGAAAGCCCTCTCGATCTGCCTCGCGCCGCTGGCCGCTGATCGTCGCTGCTGCCGCCGTGATCCGTCGTCCGCTGCCGCCGCCGCAATCGGTCGTCGGTCGTCGCCGCCCCGCCGCCGTCGGTCGCTGGTCGCTGGTCGCTGGTCGTCGATCGTCAGTCGTCAGTGGTCGTCGGTCGTCGGTAGATGCCCGTCGTACGTCGTCCATCGCCCGTGGTCATCGCAGCCGCAGTCGTCGTCAACGTCGTCGTTAATGACGTCGAGGTTTTCGGGAATGTTCCAAGGGTTTCGGCTGCGTTTCGGCTGCTTTTCGGCCTCCTGGAGCCATCCCGTGGCCAAGGCTGGATCCGCCAGAGGTCCGATCCAGAACATGATCTGAGAAGCGTATGGGGATCGTCGTCGGTCGGTCGTTTGCTTTTGGACCTGGCTCCAAATTCTTATCAATGTTTGTCAACTCATGACTTGTCAATTCTATTGATCACGAAAAAAACACCTCCCACCCGCAACTTGTGTGGCAACGATTGCAAATAACTGCGCCCACTGAACCCATTCGGAAATGATTGCAAATGCCGATTGAGAGGTCTCTACGGGCCTCCATAGGCGTAACCGATGTATACATACACACGTACATGCACATTCCTGCACACATATCTACTCTGTTATGTGTATATCTACATATGCGACAGAGAATAGCGCGCGTAAGTTCTGGCATGCTCTAGGTGACATCCAAAAGCGTTTGGCATCGGTGGACATACATTGTCACACAGATCGTGCCCTTCAGGGAGCTATACCTGCGGCCCCAGGGACAGGCTTGGCTTAGCGTCCCCCTGCGCATGTCGGCACACCACTTACAGGGATCGCGCCCCACAGGGAGCTCCACCTACGTCTCCAGAGACAAGGTTCGAAGAGTGGCACGCCCCTCAGGCGGACCGTGCCCTGCAAGCATCTGTAGTTGTGGTACCAGAGGGAAGCTTCATAGCGTCGCCCAGCTCACTTCGGCACACCTCTCACACCGATCGTGGCCCGTACAAAATTCCACGGACGGCCCCAGAGACGAGATTCGCATCCCGCTCCCCCACCTACTTCAGCACACCTCTCACACGGATCGTGGCCCACAGGGATCTCCACCTATGGCCCCAGAGGCAGGGTTCGCACTGCGCCCCCCATCTGAGCATTGCGACCCAGCCCATCACGCGGATCGTTGCCACAAGGAGCACCAAGCACAGCGCCCCCCCCCGCCCATGTCCGCATACCCGTCAAGCGAATCATTCCCCTGAAAGAGCCCTTCATATGGCACCACTGGGCAATTTCGCTTGGCGTCCCCCCTCCCATTTCGGAAACGACGAAAGTCCAAACCTGGGCCGGGGAAAGTCCGAAGATCGTCCCCAGGACCGTGAAATCATTGAAAAACACTTGTGTTTAAACATAATCGTTGTGGATGTATCTTGGAAGCGACTTGGGGGGTGTCTTGGGGGGCGTCTTGGAGGCCTCGTTGAAGCCTCTCGGGTGCACATGGAAAACAATGTTTGGGCCTCCTGGGGGCTTCCCGAGGGCCTCTTGGCTTTTGAAAACCTCTTGGGGCGTTTTGGGCCCTATTGGGGCCTCCTGGGGCTCTCGGTCCTGTTCTGGGGCTGTGTTGGGCCATCTCGGGGGCTTCCTAGAGTGCCTTGTGCCCTTCGTGGGCCGTCCTGGAGCTCTCCATGGGGGCCTCCTGGGCTGTCTTGGGAGCCTCGTGGGTCATCTTGGACGCTGTGAGAGCCAAAGAGGCGGATATGCTGAACATGCATGTTTTCTTAAGGGGATGGTGCTGTTTTTTGCGTCGTGGGGCCCTCTTGGGGGGCCTCGTGGGGGCCTCTTGGGACGCCTTGGGGCGCCGTGGGACTGTCGCAGTGACATCTGGGGCCGTCTTGGAGCTCTCGTGGGGCGCTCTTGGGGGCCTTGAGAGCCAGTCGGGGACTATCTTGGGTGGTATTGGAAGATTCTCGGGCGTTCTGAAACCCCCGTCGCCCGGAGGGGTCCCCGGGGAGAGGGAGAACCAACATAAAAGTGAAGGGCCGGCCCAGGGCCCGGGGTCCCCCTGAGATGTATATACGTAGCACCCCGCAGATGCGGATAAGAGTGAGGGGGCAGTGGGGACATCGGCAGTCTGCGAGACTCAGGAGAAGCCCGCCGCAAGTGCCAAAGTTCCACACATTATACAAAGAGCCCGCCGCAGGCGCCGATCTCTTTTTCAAACCAATGTGGATCGGTCGCGGGTGGGTCGCGGGTGGGTCGCGGGATGGGTCGCGGGTGGGTCGCGGGTGGGTCGCGGGTGGGTCGGGGGGGTGGGTCGCGGGGTGGGTCGCGGCAGGGTCGCGGGTGGGTCGCGGGCGGGTCGCGGGGCGGGTCGCGGGTGGGTCGCGGGTGGGTCGCGTGGTGGGTCGCGGGGTGGGTCACGGGGTGCGTCGCGGGGTGTGTCGCGGGGTGGGTCGCGGGGTGGGTCTCGTGGTGGGTCGCGGGGGGGACGACGACAAGAAACAACAACCAACAACAACTACAACAACAACTACAACACCAACAACAACAAAAATTTTAATACTGTTCGCCCTGATATGCTCGAATGTCCAACAACGCGTATTTCCCAAACCCTCGATACCCGCCCTCTTCGTTTTCGATCGAACCCCTTTTGGGGGTATACCTTTCTTCACTGCAGGCTGGGCCCCGGCAAGCGGCGGGGCGGCCGCGGACCGTCGGCCTGGCCAGCGGCAGCGCTGATCGGCGGGGCGGCCGCGGACCGTCGACCCGACCCCAAGAGGGACGGACAGGGGACCGACCACGACGACGACGACGACGACGACGACGACGTCGAAGACGACGGCGACGACGACGACGACGGCGACGACGAGCGAAAGCGAGAGCGAGAGAGAACGACAGCAGGGCCACGAAGGGCACGAAGTAGGCCACGAAGGGCGATAGCGGGGACACGAAGGGAATGCGTATGGGGCCACGAAGAGCGCGAACGAGCGGGGGCCACGAAGTGCAGATAATGCGGGGCCACACAAGGCAACTATGGGGCCACTGAGGGTAGCAACTGGGCCACGTAGGACAGTGAGGGGGCCGTAAACGGCGACAGCGGGGCCACGAAGGGCATGCACATGGGGCCTCAACGGGCGCGACTCCTGGGTGCCTGGCTGTCGGGAGCGCGGCGCTTCAGCAAATTGCAAGAAAAATCCAACGCAAGGGCATTCTTCAGTAAGTTGCAAGCAAGTCTCCAGCGAGAGCGCGACTCCAGAGCGCTGGGAGAGCGATTCCTTAATACATTGTAAGGAAGTCCCAAGCGAAAGCGCGATTCCTGAATAAAATGCAAGGAAGTCTCTGGCGGGAGCGGGGGTCCTGGCTAAATTGTAAGGAAGTCTCAAGCGGGAGCCGTTGTTGTTGTAACCCGGGGGCCAAAGGCTCAGTTTGAGCAGGAAGGCTTTCCCTGTCAAAAAACAGGGTGCGAACGTCGAGGGGCACACTTTGATTGAGAAAGACAGTATGCACCCGTGGGGGGGAGCAGCAATAATTATTCTTCAGAAGTGACAATATAACAAAAACAACAACAACAACAACAACAACAACAACAACAACAACACCAACAACAACAACAACTACAACCACAACAACCACAACAACAACAACAACAACAACAACAACACCAACAACAACAACAACAACAACAACAACAACAACAACATCAACGACAACAACAATAGCAACAACAACGACAACAACAGCAACAACTACAATAAGTTTAGTACTGTTCGCTCTTATCTGCTCGAGTGTCCGTTAACGCGTATTTCCCAAACCCTCGGTACCCGCACTCTTCGTCTTCGAGCATACCCCTCTTGGGGGGTAGACCTTTCTTCCCTGCAGGCCGGGCCCCGGCAAGCGGAGGGGCGGCCGCGGACCGTTGGCCTGGCCAGCGGCAGTGCTGATCGGCGGCAACCCGACCGCAAAAGGGACGGACAGGGGACCGACCACGACGACGACGACGACGACGACGGCGAGCGAAAGTGAGAGCGAGAGAGAACGGCAGCAGGGCCACGAAGGGCACGACGTAGGCCACGAAGGGCGACAGCGGGGACACGAAGGGAATGCGTATGGGGCCACGAATAGCGCGAACGAGCGGGGGTCACGAAGGGCAGATAATGCGGGGCCGCAGAAGGCAACGACGGGGCCACTGAGGGTAGCAACTGGGCCACGTAGAACAGCGAGGGAGGCCACAAAGGGCTGCAATGGGGCCACGAAGGGCATGCACATGGGTCCACCACGGGCGCGAAAGAGCGGGGGCTTCGAACGGCATACCTATATTGGGACGCGGAGGGCAAGGACGGGGCCACTGAGGGCAGCATATATGGGCCACTACGACGGGCGCGGACGAGCGGGGGCCACAAAGGGCAGCATATATGGGGCCACGGAGGGCAGCGAGGAGGCCACGAAGGGCAGTGAGGGGGCCACGAAGGGCTGCAACGGGGCCACGAAGGGCAGCGAGGAGGCAACGAAAGGCAGCGAGGGGGCCACGAGAGGCTGCAACGGGGCCGCGAAGGGCAGCGAGGGGGCCACGAAGGGCTGCAACGGGGCCACGAAGGGCAGCGAGGAGGCCACGAAGGGCAGCGAGGGGGCCACGAAGGGCAGTGAGGAGGCCACGAAGGGCGGCAACGGGACCACGAAGGGCAGCGAGGGGGCCACGAAGGGCAGCGAGGGGGCCACGAAGGGCAGCGAAGGGGCCACGAGAGGCTGCAACGGGTCCACGATGGGCAGCGAGGGGGCCACGAAGGGCTGCAACGGGACCACGAAGGGCAGCGATATCCAGATTCCTAGATAATCTGTGAGGGAGTCCTAAGCGTGAGCGCGACTCCTGGGTGCCTGAGTGTCGGGAGCGCGGCGCTTGAGTGAAGGAAAGTCCACCACAAGGTAGAATCTTCTCCGTCTGCTCCCTCTTCGTCGTCGTCGATGCTCCTTTTGCTTTCCCTACAGCGTCGTTGCTTCTACCCCTCTCCC